TATTTGGCATTTTTACTCACTCAGTAGAGCGCTTTGTGGCCCCATAGGGAGCTCCACCGAAGCCCTCAGTGGGACCGTCCGCATGCGTCCCAGAAACCCAATTCGGCACACCACCCACACAGTACAGCGTTCCCCCCCGCCCAGTGCAGCGCTTCGTGGCCTCATAGGGAGCTTCACCGAAGCAGATATTCACAATTACGGTACCCACAACTGCAAATGGTTGAGACCTTCGCCAGGATAATTGAATTGTCATTGTTTTTTTACGGATTGGGGCCTCCTGGGGGGGAGCCCTGAGTGGGCTCAAAAACTAATTGGAACCGTCTTGGGTCCCTCGTCGGGCCTCTTGGAGGCATGCCGGGAGCTATCTTGAATTACCTTCGACGGTCTTCAGCCGCTCTGGAGGCCACCTTGGAGCATCGAAGGCCCTCTTGGACCCATATGAGGCCATCTTGGGCGCCCTGACATCCCGCACCCCCCCGACAAAAACCTCAGGGAAAGGAGGGGTGTTGTACCACTCCCCGAAGGGACAGAGGGTTTGAAAGAGGGGGGACAGATCGCCAGACCACCTCAGCCCAAATGGCTGGTGGTATTTTTGCTTCGATGCTGACTGATCCTGATGCCTCGAAGTCTTGCCCCCGAAAAGTGAAATCGATGAAAAAACCCTGGAGTTGAAAAGTCATCTCGTCGAAGAGCTGGGAATGATGCTAGGCCCAAACACGCGATGTCTTGACTTTGCGATGTGGGGTCCTGGGAAGTCCTGACCCTTCCCCAGGGCTGGCTTCTTCACCTTGGGCCGTGCTTTTGTGGGATGTCCTGGGGCCCGGCGAGGGCCCCCAGAGGACGAAAACGGCCAAACACCTCTTGTCGCACCAATTGGGCCGGTGATGATTATGGAGGTTGGGAGGGGGAAGGGAGCGGCGGTCGATGTGCGATGGGTCTGGGTTCTTTGGTGGTTTCTTCCACTTGTTTATTGTCGCGCGCATCTGCCCATCTGCCTATCGACCAATCTTTCTGTTTAGCTGCCTAGAACAACCTTCTGTATATCTATCTATACCTATCAGTGCATGAGTCTATCCGCCGATCAATCAATCAACCAATCAATACATATATATATATATATTATGCACATATTTGTGTATATAGACAAATCGATATATCGATATTACAATATGTACACATTTTTGCATATACACACATCTATGTATATGTTTATAAATATGCGTATCTACATGTTCATCCATCTATATATAGTTCTACCCACCATCGGGACAACATCTAACAACACCGGAGGTTGGGGGGTGAGATCGAAGTGGAACGGAGATCCCCCCTACCGGGAAATCGAGTTCGGTTTCGTGTTCGTGCGTGCCGTGCGTGCGGGCGAGGCGAAGCTGCGTGGGCAGGCGAGAGGAAAGTCTCCTGTGGCTGAGGCGCGGCCGAACCAAATGACTCCCTTTTGGCGTCCGGTGACCCGCGGTGTCCCGCCGGTGTCTCGCTGTGGCTGAGGCGCGGCCCGACCAAATGACTCCCTTCCGGCGTCCAGTGGCCCGCGGTGTCCCGCCGGTGTCCCGCCGGTGTTCCGCCGGTGTCCTGTCGGTGTCCCGATGATGGCGGTGATGATGATGATGACGACGACGATGATGATGCTGATGATGATGATGGTGATGATGGCGATGATGCTGATGATGATGATGATGATGATGATGATGATGATGACGGTGATGATGATGGTGATGATGGTGATGATTGTGATGATGGTGATGATGGTGATGATGGTGATCATGGTGATCATGGTGATGATGATAATGGTGATGATGGTGATGATGGTGATGATGGTGATGATGATGGTGGTGATGATGATGACGTTGATGATGATGATGATGATGTTGATGATGTTAATGTTGATGCTGATGATGATGATAATGACTTCGATTGTGAGATCGATTGTGAGATCGATAGTGAGATCGATAGTGAGACCGAATGAGAGATCGATTGTGAGATCGATAGTGAGATCGATTGCGAGATCGATCGTCAGATTGATTGTGAGATCGATCGAATGAGATCGATAGTGAGATCCAGTGTTCCGCCGGTGTCCCGTCGATGTCCCGATGATGACGGTGATGATGATGATGACGATGATGATGATTGTGATGATGATGTTGATGATGATGATGGTGATGATGGTGATGATGATGACGATGACGATTATGATGATGATGGTGATGATAGTCATGATGGTGATGATTGTGATGATGGTGATGATGATGCTGATGATGATGATGATGATGATGAGGATGATGATGATTGTGAGATCGATTGTGAGATCGATAGTGCGACCGAATGAGAGATCGATTGTGAGATCGATAGTGAGATCGATTGTGAGATCGATCGTCAGATGGATTGTGAGATCGATCGAATGAGATCGATAGTGAGATCGATAGTGAGACCGAGTGTGAGATCGATTGTGAGATTGATTGTGCTATCGATAATTAGTGGTATCGATAGCGATAGTGTGACGCGGTGCCTTCGGATGTCGGCGCGAGCTCGAAAGAGCGAGGATAAAAGAGTTACGATGGTGGTGCGTCGTCAGAACAACAATCACCACTGTTGCCCACTGCTGGCCCCCCCCAACCTCCTTATCACCCGCATGGTGGTCGTATAGGTATATAAATATGTATCTATATATTTATTTATATATATATATATATATATATATATCTCTCTCCCTGGGGGGCGAGGCCGGGGGCCCCGGGACAGGTGCCCCCACCCCCCATGGCGGGACTGGGGCTCATTTTCCCTTTGTTTTTACAGGGTTTCCGCGTCCTGGGCCTCGGAGGCCGCCGCCTCCAACCCCCCATGGGAGGACGGGGCGGCCGGGGAGGTCCAAAATAGTCCAGGAGGGCTTCCAGAGGCTCCCAAGACAGCCCAAGCGGGCCCCGAGTCGCCGAAATACCGCTCCAGGACGCCCAAGATAGGCTCAAGACGGCCCGAGAGGCCCCCCAAGGCACTCCACGACGCTTCAAGACGCCTCTCCCAAGCGCTTCAAGAGGCCGAAATCGTCAATTTTACGAAGGTTTTGGACACATTTTGCTTTTCCCGCCTTCTCAGCTTTCCGACGCTCCACGACAGCTCAAAGGCCCCCCGCGGATGCCCCAGGAGAGCCCAAGAGGCCTCCAAGAGGGGCTCAAGACGGCTCTGGAGGGCCCCAAGACGGCCCAAAACGCGCTCAAGACGGGCGAAGAGAGCCCCAAGACGGCCCAAGCGGGCCCCGAGTCGCCGAAAGACCGCTCCAGGACGCCCAAGATAGGCCCAAGACGGCCCGAGAGGCCCCCCAAGGCACTCCACGACGCTTCAAGACGCATCTCCAGAGCGCTTCAAGAGGCCGAAATCGTCAATTTTACGAAGGTTTTCGAACGATTTCGGCCTTCCAGCCTTTTCGGCTGTCCGACGTTCCAAGACGGCTCAGTAGGCCCCCAGGAGCGCCCCAAACGGCCCAAGAGGGCCCCAAGAGGGCCCCAGAGTCGCCCAAGACAGCCCAACAGAGCCCCAAGACGGCCCCAAGATGCGCCCAAGACGGGGACCACGACTCCAAGATTCGACCAACCGGCTTGAAGAGTGCCCCAGGAGGCCCCAAGGAGCCCCCAAGAGGCCCGAGGAGGCCCCCAAGTGGCACCCAGGAGGCCCAAACGAGGCCTAAAGAGGCAACAAAACAGCCCCGAGGAGACCCCACAACGGTGCCAAAACGGCTACCGAGACGGCAAGGAGGAGGAGGAGGAGGAGGAGGAGGAGGAGGAGGACAAGGACCAGTGTACATCCAAGAGCCATCAACCATGTTGCAATGAACGCTCCCGCCTAGCTTCTTCTTCTTCGTAGGCTCCTACGGGAATTATTTGTTCATTTCGGGAAGTGCTCCATTTGACGGCAACTGCCCGAGAATCCTCAATCGTGACAAGACGCCGTTCTTGGGACTTCAGCGCAGCGAAGCAACATGACGGTTGCGCCCTGGCATTCCTAAACCACGCTGGAAGGTCGTTCTTGGAACCTCAACGCCGCGAATCCGCTTTATTGCTGCGCCCTGACGCTCGTAAACCCTGCCAGCACACCATGCCCCGGACGTCAACCAAACGAATCCCCCAAACGGTGGCAAGCCTTTCAGACGACTGGGCGCGGCGCCAGGGCGCCTACCACGTGTTGAAGAGGAGCCGCCCTCGGTCCTGCCAGCGGCTGCAAACACCGACATCGGAAAGCACGCGGCGCTGGGGCGATAGTCACGTTTTGAAAACAAACAGCCGCCTCTCCATCCTTGAAGTTGCTGCGACTTGTCGATGATGCTCCGACCGATCCGCCTGCCCCTCTTCTGTGCGAGCTCGCGTTCACAATCGGGGAAGTCCGCGCTAGAACCTAAGCGCGCGCGAAGCGCGCGCGTGGTTCTAGTATATATATATATAGCAAAAATATCAACGGTGAACCATCGGGACAAACATCGTGACAACCATCGGGACAACCATCGGGTCAACCATCGGGACAACCATCGGGACAACCATCGGGACAACCATCGGGGTAACCATCGGGACAACCATCGGGACAACCACAACCATCGGGACAATCGCTGGGACAACCGCCAGGACAACCCGGGGTTCACGCCTGGCGTTCGGGGGGCGGCCTTTTTGGTAATAGATGGCTTCCACTATGGATGGAGCTCGCGCAGTTTCGCCTCGCACGCACGACACGAACCGAAAGCGAAACCGATTGCCGGGTTGGTGTCACTTCCTCTCCAACCCCACAACCTCCGATACTTGTTTCACGACGCGGGCTTGTTTGGGTCTGGGGGCCAAAGATCGACTCCCATTTCTGTTCTTGGACGCGTCCTGACAAGAATTTTGCGGCGGATCCAGCCATGGCGACGAGAAGCTTCCTGGAGGGCGAGAAACTTCAAGATGCGTTGGTTTTCGAACCTCGACCCGTTGAGTTTCGTCTCTTGATGTTCGAACCTCTTCGCCCAGGTGCACGTCTTCTTCGCGGAGCCCACGCGTGCGCCTTGCGTCACTGTCTTCGGTAGCAAATCATGGGAGCCCTGTTTGTCCTCGTCCTTCCGCCTTTTGAGTACACTAGCGTGCGCTAGCGTCTAGCAGTCGATAAGAAAGTGACGATTCAGCGTCGGTCAGCGTCCATTCGAAGGAGCCGACAAGAAGACATGAGACGGCGAACGAACAACATACACCCATACTCATACGGGGGACGGGCGGGGCTATGGGTTCGTGTTGTCGGATTGGGGTCCCCCGTCGAACGGAGTCCCCCCCAGGGTCCGACAACCCACACCCATACCCACAGCCAGTCCTTCTCCCTCTGACCTCCTTACACGATGGTCGTTGAACGTAGGTATTTTGGGGATTCCCAGATCCCAGGATACTTCATGAGCCTTCCTATTTCAAGAACGAATGTACTTCTGCTGTGCTCTGTCATTTTCTGGGAAGGCCCGAACCCAATCTACTTGATCCGCCTTCCTACTTCAAATGCTACCTTCTTCTTCCGACTGACGTGTATGTTCACGGGTATGGGTGTGTGTTGTTCGTTCGTCATGGGAGGCAGGAGACACCCGTGAGTTGCCACCGAAACCGTCGGCCTCGCCACTGGCTTGCACGACGGCGCGTGCGTGCAGGACCTCGGCCTCGACGGCGTCACCGAGGCGGACGGGCTGGCGGTCGGCCGTGCGTCGGGGCTCGCGTGCCGCATGGCCGCGGTCAGGGGCAACCTAAGGGTCGTGTGGTTCCGAACGGGACCCCAGGGAAAGGGACTCTTGAGACGGGCGATGCCGATGGCTCGAGTCCGCTCGGCTTGGCCCGCGCAAGGTCGTCGCACGACGCTCTCACTTGCACCTCGAAGTCTCAGATGCAAGGCCGCGGTCTCAGGAGTCCCTGTCGCTGGCGTCCCTCGACGAAACGCATCAAAAGGGGGGGCCGGCAACGCAAGGGGAGTTCTCGTCGGTTCTCGGCGGTTTTCTAGCCTCGGGCTACCTCCAGCCCGGAGAAGAAAAGGGTACCGATACCGCTGCCATTCCCTCGCTTTTCGCCTTTTTGGGCCTCCTGGGAGGCTCTCGCCAACACCGCTGGATTCGCCTTGAAATTCTGGTCAGAGCTCATCCCAGGAAAGGTTCCGGGAGTAGCGGTATTGGTTTCCCCACCAGTGGTTGCGCCTTGCCGAGAGCGTTCCGTGGGTGCCCGAATCGTCCCGAACGGCCGGTGGAGGCCCGACTTATGGCCAGAAAGCCACCAGGAGTCCTGCATCGGAGTGGCCCTTCTGTCGTGGAGGCGTCGTGAGCAAGATCAAGGGAACAGGAGTCCCAGGATCAAATGGGGTTCGAGTAGATGGGGTCAGAGGATCGAGCCGCATCAACGATGCGGATCGATGTGGAGCCCGATTCCCTCCACGCCGACATCGACGACGCGGCACGATCCTCCGATCCCATCTGTTTCTGACCCCATCTAGGAGGCTTTAGATTAGCGGGGCTTTCGTAAAATTGTTGGCCGGTTCCCGTGAGTCTTCTCCTGCTCCTCCTCATCCTCCTCCTCCTCTTCCTCCTCCTTGGGCCTCGGGGTCCGTTCCAGCAGCTGCGCCTCGCCGAGAGCGTTGCCCGGATCGCCCCGCCACGGGAGGCCCGAGGGATGGTCCAAGAAGCTTTGGGGTCAGGGGCGTCGACGGGGGGGGGCGGGCTCGATGTATACACCACGTCGTTAGACCACATTCGGTGAAGGGCTTCGGTGTATAGAGGGCCCCAGTACGCTGCTTTTGTCGGGGGACCTCGTCTCTCCCCCAGGCTGGTGGCTTGTCCCGCGCTCGGCGTGGGCTCGATGCACACTGGACGCGGATTTTCCGCGTGGACTCGGCGTGGATTTGACGCGGCTTCGACGAGCTCGACACGGATTCGACACGGATTCGACGCGGCTTAGCATCACCACCCACCACGCCACCCCAACCCAACCCGAAGGCCTCAATTTGCCCTCCATTCCCAGTGGTGGGGGTGGTCGGGGAACATTGAAAAAACACCTGAAATCCGTACCCCCCCCAACCCGAAATTCGGGTCAAATTCGAGTCTTCGGGTTGGGTTGGGGTGGTCTTGGCAGGTAGTCATACAGGGAGTTCAACGAAAACTAGGTCGGCATGCCCAGGCTCAGCCTCGCGGACCTACTCTAAAACCATATGTTTAAAATTCCTTGTTTTGTTTCATGACGTGTCGTTATCGCGCGAATGATACTCGAACACCTAGTTTTTAAAATGATCACGGTGATCTTCCCCAGATATTCCCCCGAATTGTCCTCCAGATCTTCACCCAGATCTTTCCCCAAATGTTTCCCTTGATGTCCCTGCAGATCCTCACCTAGATCTTCCCCTCAGATCTCTTCCAGATCTTCCTCAGATCTTGCTCAGATCTTCGTCACAGGGCTCAAGCTAAACACTGTTTACTTGTTTCCTGTTGTTTTCGTTGTCTGACTGTTTTTCGTTCTAAACGCGCTCGGGAGGCCTATGTTGTGTTTGGTGTTTTGTTCTCGCGCGGGCACGAGCCGTGCGTTTTGTTCGTGTTCTGCTTGTGTGCGAGAAGGGTGGCCGTGTTTTGTTGTTTTGCGCCCGTTTTCTGTTCACGGCGTCTTCGCATTTCGCGCGGCGCGCCTCTTCCGTTATCGTTTTCATTCTGCTTCGCGGATATATTCTAAAATCATATGTTTGAATTACGTTGTTTTGTTTCATGCTCTGCCGTCATCGCGGGAGTGATTTTCGAAAACATAAGCTTAAACATTGACACGGTGAAAATTGCTCAGATTTTCCTCCGGATTTTCTTCCAGATCTTCCACCATATCTCCCCCCAGATTCCCTGAGATCTTCGCCCCGATCTTCCCCCAGATCTTCCCCTAGATCTTCTGCCAGGTCTTGCCTTAGATCTTTCTTCAGATATTCCCCCAGATCTCCCCCCTGATCTTCCAGATCTTCCCCCAGTTATTCCCCCAGATTTTCCTACAGATCTTCCCCCAGATAGTCTGCCAGATTTTCCCCCAGATCTTCCGCCAGATCTTCGCCCAGATCTTCCCCCAGATCTCCCCCGAATCTTCCTCCAGATCTTCCCCCAAATCTTCCCCCCGGATCTTCCTCCAGATCTTCCCACAGATCTTCCTCCCAGATCTCCCCCCCAGATCTTCCCCCATATCTTCCCCCAGATCTTCCCCCAGATCTTCCTCCTGATCTTCCCCCAGATCTCCCCCCAGATCTTGTCCCAGATCTTCCCCCAGATGTTCCTCCAGATCTCCCTCCAGATCTTCCCCCAGAGCTTCCTCCAGATTTTCCCCCAGATATTCCCCCAGATCTTCCCCCAGATTTTCCGCCTGATCTCCCCCCAGATCTTCCTCCCAGATCTTCCCCCAGATCTTCGCCCAGATCTTCGCCCAGATCTCCCCCCCGGATCTTCCTCCAGATCTTCCCCCAGATCTTCCCTCAGATCTTCCCCCAAGTCCACCTTCAGATTTTCCTCTCAGATCTCCCCACCAGATCTTCCCCCAGATCTTCCCCCGGATCTTCCCCCAGATCTTCCTCCAGATTTTCCTCCAGATCTTCCCCCAGATCTTCCCCCAGATCTTCGCCCAGATCTCCCCCCAGATCTTCCCCCAAATCCTCCCCCAGATGTTTCCCCAGATCTTCCCCCAGATCTTCCCCCAGATCCTCCCCCACATCTTCCCCCAGATCTCCCCCCAAATCTTACCCAGATCTTACCCCAGATCTTACCCCAGATCTTCCCCCAGATCTTCCCCCGCATCTTCCCCCGGATCTTCCCTTGGATTTTTCCCCAGATCTTCCCCCAGATCTTCCCCCAGATCTTCCTCCCAGATCTTCCTTCAGATCTTCCTCCAGATCTTCCCCCAGATCATCGCCCAGATCTTCGCCCAGATCTTCCCCCCAGATCTTCCCCCAGATATTCCCCTGAATACTCCGCCAGATTTTCCTCCCAGATCTTCCCCCAGATTATTCCCCAGATTTTCCCCTGATCTTCCTCTCAGATCTTCCCCCAATCTTCCCCCAGATATCCCCCCCAGATCTTCCCCCCTGATCTTCCCCTGGATCTCCCGTCGGTTGTCTCCCCCAGATTTTCCCCTGGATCTCCTCCCAGATCTTCCTCCAGATCTTCCCCCAGATCTTCCCCCAGATGACCCTTCAGTTTTCCCCCTCAGATCTTGTCCCAGATCTCACCCAGATCTTCGCCCAGGTCTTCCCCCCGATCTCCCCCCAGATCTTCCCCCAGATCTCCCCCCAGATCTCCTACCAGATCATCGCCAAGATCTTCATCCAGATCTTCCCCAGATCTTCCTCCAGATCTTCGCCAATATCCTCTCAGATCTTCGCCCAGATCTTCCTCCAAATCTTCTCCGAGATGTCCCCCGAGATCCCTCTTCGGATTTTCCTCCAGATGTACCTCGGAGCTTCCCCCAGATCTTCGCACAGATCTTCCTCCACGCATTCCTCAGATGTCTCGCCAGATGCTCCAGATCTTCCCCCAGAGCCCCCTCCGAATCTTCCTCCGGATCTTCCTTCAAATCTCCCCAGATCTTCCATAAGATCTTCCTCCAGATATTCGCCCCCATCTCCCGCCGGATCTTCGCCCAGATCTTCCCCGGATCTCCCTTCGGACATCTCGCCATATTTTCCTCCAGGTCTTCACCCTGATGCCCCCTCTAGATCTTCGCCCAGATCTTCCTTCAGATCTTCGTCCGGATCTCCCCCCAGAGCTTCCCCAGATTTTGTCCCTCGGATCTGCGCCCAGATCTTCCCCCAGATCCTCGCCTAGATCTCTCCCCAGCACAACTCTCAGACGACACCCTGTTTTGTTTCATGCCGCGTCGCTGCCCTGGCGCTTTTTTGTTATCCTGGGTTTGTTGTTTTGCCCCGCCTCGGGGCTGCGATCTCTACGCGGCAACCTAGAAGGTTTACTCCCCTGTTGTTTAAGACCCTTGTTTTTTTTCAAACTCCCCGTAGCAGCACGATGGGACAGCCCAGGTCCCCCGAAAATGCAGCATGAGCTCCAGGGTCCAAGGGCGACGCCGGGTTTCTCTGGCCGACCACGCGGCGGCGGCGAGAGGCCGCTCCCAGAGGCTGGGGCGGGGCCGGCGGTCGGGCGGGGCGCCGGGGCGCGCGTGCCGGGCCGGGGGGGGGGCAGCGTCGAGGCGGGGAAGGAGGGGGAGGTGGAGGAGGAGGGGGAGGAGGAGGAGGAGGAGGAGGAGGAGGAGGAGGATTCGGGGGAGCGTAAGACCTGGGTTTGCCAGGACTCGGGTTCGCCATCGTTTTTTTGACGGCCGCGCCTCGGATTTTGACGAGGAGGAGTGTCGTGGGAGGTTGTCCCCCTACAGGGGGACTTCCGACGAACAACTAAAAGTGCCCCAAGAATGCCCCCCAAAGGCAAAACAAAGACTCAAAACATAGTCCCTGGACTATGTTTGTGTATTATTTTTGGATTATTTTGGGGGTATTTCTCATTTTTCGTCGACACTCACTCTGTAGGGGTACAGGCCCGACTTAAATCTAAAGGTCCGAGCTTCGATGCACGAGCTGCAGTGGAGGCCCAGGCCAAGAAGCACCTGGATTGCCTCCAGAGTGCCCTGGGTTTCTTGGGTGTTGCTGGTTCTGCCATGGGAAGCGTGGCGTCCCCTCACCAAACGTCTCAAGGGACGTCCTGGGGTCTCAGGGTTGGGTTTCTGGTGGAAG